CCCACTGTATATATATATATATATATATATACTTGCTCTGACAAGCAAACCAGCATACAAGCTGATAAAACATTTTTAACAGTAGTTGGCAGCAGTATAAAATGTTCTTACTGAGTTAAAGCACATGTGGTCTATCGAATCGTTTCTTGCCAAATTTGAACATACATGATCATACTTGCCGTATGTGATTTCAACAGGCCACAACACTGCAGCTCTACAACATTCATTTATTTTTGTGGTCATTTATACCAGTCATTTGTTAAGCTTATATATTGTGTTATTCATGTATATTTAGGAAACTTTTTTTGTCTATATGTTTGCAAAGGACCATACAAATGTACACTACTATTCAAAAGGTTGGTGAGATATTTTTAATCATTTTTTTTATGTCTCCCATAGCATTTAGCGATATGCTTCATAGTTATATCGTCCTATCGTCAGCCCGTGAGATCGCCGATTTCCTATTTATTTAATTTTTTTATTACTTCGTTTCATAGCCGGAGAGTGAACAAACTCCTAAAAGGCTAAAACAGGGTTCTCACTCTTTTTCGGTGATCATTTTCCAGTACTGCAAAAAGGCCGGTATTGTTACGTTTTTAAAACTTCAGTATCGACGTGGTACAGAAGTACTAATAACCTACTTTTGATAATAATCAAAATCATTAGTAAACAAGTTACTGAATTACTGAAATACTTCTCTTAAAGTTGAACATTGGATAGAAGGTTTGGAAACACATCAGTGTTCAAACTGTCAAAAGTCAGTAGAGATGCACCAATCTTGATTTTTTTCATGGCCGATTACGATTTTTTACAAGCAAATTCCGATTTGTTAATTTTTTTTTAAGCAAGAGATAAGATAGAATGAAAATATGACTACATGAACAAGATGTTTTTTGCTCTACTACAGGGCAAACTTTCTGTAGCCATTTAAAATTAGAGGTAACCACTGCATTTTAATCACGTTCCAATAGGGCTGGACAATAATTCAATATCAATATATTTCGTGATATTTTTTTCAGTAACAATGATATGATTTCCGATATTTCAGTGTTTCCCACACATTGATTTATTTGTGGCGTTTGAGTTCTTTGAATAAACATGAGTGCTGCACGTTTCAAAATCAAAACGCGGCGTGGGTGTTTAAAATAAATGTATCTCTGAAGGGAACCGACTGTCTCCAGAAAAATTTTGATGGTATTTTCATTTTATCTGATAAAGTAGCATTCGTGAGTGGAGCTGCTTTGTGTACAGCTGTTACCAGCGAAATTTATGTTTCTGCTGCTCCAAAAGCGCCTCCTGCTGGCAGATAATGAATTTGGTATTTTCAATAACCCCGTGTCCAGCAGCATGTTTTTGTTGTTGCTCACTCTTTTTTTAGATTTTCTGTAGCAACTCTGATCACTTTTCATATTCTTTATCCAGGCTGAAGAACTTTTGGTTTGGGGTCCGTAAGGTGTTTTGGAAAGAAGTAAAATAGAGTAAAACAGTAATATTCTGTTTAAGTATTAAAATTACAATTTTCTTTTTTAATATATATTTTATATCCATTATATATTCCTGCAATTGCAAAGCTGAATTTTCAGCAGCCATTACTTTAGTCTTCAGTGTCACATGATTCTTCAGAAATCATTCTAATACATTCATTTCTTATTATTATTATCAATGTCAAAAACAGTTGTGTTGTTTATTTTTTGTGGAAAATGTGACATTTTCAGGATTCTTTGATGAACAGATGTTTAAAAAAAGCATTTTGAAATAGAAATCTTTTGTAACAATATAAAGTGAAAGTAAATATCTTTACTGTCATTTTTGACCAATTGAATGCATTCATGCTGAATAAAATAATTCATTTAAAAAAAAGGTTCTTAAAGACCCCAAACTTTGCATAGACTTAAGTAATTACTTAAGTAATAGTGTTTGTTATAGTGTAATTGCTATGCATTATATAACCCCAAATTTTGTGTATTATGTATTTTTGATTGGACTAGATTTTGGAACAGAAATATTGAGTAAGTTGGAAGGCAGAAAAAAATTATATTTCTGAATTATACCTTGGAGTTGATGTCCGCAGCTGGCTATCAGGATGAGCTCCATAAGGAAACATTTTCTTGACCTCCTAAGACAGAAACACACTCAAAATTGTAGGATCGGTGCGATTCAAATCATTTAAAATGTTTATTCAAATACTAATAAAAAGAACAACTGCTAAATAAACACATACCTCAACAGTACACAGCGACTGAAGGTTTCTCAATGCGCGATCTAAAATTCCTATCTGATTGGCCAGTGTTAGAGTTTTTTCTTGCAGCTGTTTATTCTCCATCTCCAGGAATTTAACTCTAAGAGAGTACAGGACAAAGAGACATTTAGCATGTTTCTGTGCTTTCCTGATAGATGCAGAAGACGACATAAGATCTTTACCTCTGCTGGATAGTAGTGGCAGTTCTCAGTCCATTATTTCCCATCTCCTCAGCTTCACTTATTCGCTGCAGAAGTTCTCGTCTCTCCAGGAGGAGCTGGTCGTTTTCTTCTGTCACAGTCCTAATCCAGTCCTTCTCCTGCTCATAGTGTAAAACACTCAAGATGAAGTGCAAGTTACGCATATAGTGTTAAAGATCAGGTATGAAAACACTCACTTTCTCTGAGAGACTTGCAGCAAGAGCCAGATCATTCTCTAGCTGCTGGATCCTGTGTTCATGTTGGGTGACTGTCTTCATGAAGATCTGTTTAGCTCTGCGCAACTTGGTTTTGTGCTGAGACTGTTTCTCGTTGTATCTCCTGCAAAACATGAGTTTCACCATTTCATATTAACACATTGCATGTAATATCTGTACTTTTAATCTAGTTGTACTTTTAGTCTATTTGTAGTAAGAGTGAAGGTTGGAATACACTACACAACTTTTAAAATCTCAACAGATTTTAAAACACTAGGGACCAGATTTAATAACAGAATGCGTCAGCGCAAAGTCTTTTGGCTTTAAAATATTACTGTCAGGATTTACTAAAGACACGCAGTGAAGAATTAGTGCTGAAAAGGCGTGGACAGTTATTTTTGAGCCTGACCTTATTGAATATGCATTTGTGGTAGGGATGGGAAGATTCCCTGATTCGTTCGGTGCATCGGCATAAAAAGTTAACGATGCGATGCATCGGTTTAAAAAGTGTGCATCGGCTACAAGTTGTCATTTATATCGCGATGCATCGTTTCTAACATATTTGCATTGGTAAAAAACGATTTATTTATATATAATTACTAGTGGATGCGCTATACTTTTATTATTTAGAAAGTGACCAATAATCTGTGACCAATATTTTATATGTAGATTGATTTCTCCTCTCTAAACTGTTTTTCAAGCACGCTGTCTCATCACCGCTGCTGCTGCATGAATATGATGCATCACAACACCACGGAAACCGAGGAAAAAACTGGGATTAAAGTCCAAAACCTGACTTGAAATAACCTAACAAATCAATCGTGGCTAAAGCGGTTCCATTAACGACAAATTAAATTCACATAATCTCATTAATTTGTGCACACTTATTCGTTAGCAGACCTTAATATCGATCATGGATCAAATGACAAACAGCAAATATATCTGTGCTGTTTAATGCATTTGAGACGTTGTGTTTTCCTCAGTGCATAACTGACATGTCACAGGCATATTTTTCATCTGTAAATGTTAGAAAGTCATGCAAACATATCCATTTTGAAAAACTGGGATTAAATTCCAAAACCTGACTTGAAATAACCTAACAAATCAATCGTTGGCTAAAGCGGTTCCATTAACGACAAATTAAATTCACATAATCTCACTAATTTGTGCACACTTATTCGTAAGCAGACCTTAATATCGATCATGGATCAAATGACAAACAGCAAATATATCTGTGCTGTTTAATGCATTTGAGACGTTGTGTTTTCCTCAGTGCATAACTGACATGTCACAGGCATATTTTTCATCTGTAAATGTTAGAAAGTCATGCAAACATATCCATTTTGCTGTCAGGAGTGGGCGAGGCACGCGAGAGCAACGAGCGCTAGGCCTGTCGCAATAATCAATATATCGACTTGTCGCGCAGTATATGTACATGACCTCAATAATTTTTGGTGACGCAATATATCGCTCATTATATTTACTTAAAAATGAATGTCACCTCCTCCAGACTCTAGGACCTTGGTTTCCAAATGTAATACAAATATGTAGATTGATTTCTCCTCTCTAAACTGTTTTTCAAGCACGCTGTCTCATCACCGCTGCTGCTGCATGAATATGATGCATCACAACACCACGGAAACCGAGGAAAAAACTGGGATTAAATTCCAAAACCTGACTTGAAATAACCTAACAAATCAATCGTGGCTAAAGCGGTTCCATTAACGACAAATTAAATTCACATAATCTCACTAATTTGTGCACACTTATTCGTAAGCAGACCTTAATATCGATCATGGATCAAATGACAAACAGCAAATATATCTGTGCTGTTTAATGCATTTGAGACGTTGTGTTTTCCTCAGTGCATAACTGACATGTCACAGGCATATTTTTCATCTGTAAATGTTAGAAAGTCATGCAAACATATCCATTTTGGTGTCAGGAGTGGGCGAGGCACGCGAGAGCAACGAGCGCTAGGCCTGTCGCAATAATCAATATATCGCAGTATATGTACATGACCTCAATAATTTTTGGTGACGCAATATATCGCTCATTATATTTACTTAAAAATGAATGTCACCATGTTTTGTACATTCCACTTGCTCCTGTGTCTTCTGCAGCTTCTCGTACATTTAAAAAATGCTTCTACAAAAAAAGTTTCATCTGCAGATATGGTCTTGTTTAGGGATCTGTGTCTTTGTGCATACAGACATCTGACTGCTAATTAGTGATTGTGTTTTTCAGCAATAGTGTGCATCATTAATTTACAGAGAAAAGAAGGTCAGGAAAAATCTGTAGATGGAAAAATCTCCATACAAGTTCTTTGTGCATTTTTCATTCTTCTACTTGTTACTTTGCACTTTTTGTTAGCAAATGTTTATTTACTATTTATTCAGTTTTTTTAAGGTATCTAATATTTTGATAATTTCCATGATCTAAATATTCTTAAAAATGTAAAGTCTGTTGTCATTTGGAAGTGTGTAGGCTTTCTTGCATTATTATGCTGTTACATTATGATTATATATTCGGTGGCATAAAATGGTCTTTAAAATTACAATAATATCGCTTATCGCAATTATTTCTGGGGCAATATATCGCACAACAAAAAGTTGTTATCGTGACAGGCCTAACGAGCGCTGCTGCTGTGCGCTAAACAGACTGAGCGCAATCGAATAGGAGCGCAATAATTCTGAGTAAAATATACATTTTGCTAAAACATTTGTTTTTGGACATTAAATGTGTCTTTTGTAGAATTTTAAACCTACATATAAAGTGTATTTTTATGACAGCAGTAACTATAAGTGGCCTATTGTAATAGGTAAATCAAATGTAAGCTAGTAGGCTACAGTACTAATTACTAAGCTCAAATGAGTTAATGTATGTTTCTTATAGCAGTTAAAATGTAGTCATTTTCTTTATTATTTATTTTCATTTTTAATTCAGAGTGATTTAAACTATTAATTTAGTTATTTTAATGCTTTAAAGAGTAAGCAATTTTAGATTGTAATGTTCTAATGTTCTGTTATCTGTTCTGCAAACTATAAAAGGTACAGCTGTAATAAAACCAGAGAGAAAGGCTGCATGGCTAGAAACTGAGAAAAAAAAAAAAGTCAAATAATAGTATGTGAGACAGTGGTAATATCATTATGTTCCTATTGGTCAGTAGAGGAGCTTAGCTTAGCCTGACAGTTAGCCTGCTTTAGACAAGGTTATTTTTCCAGCATAAGTTGCCACAATGACTAAGCTTGATCTAGGCCTATGTTAAATTTGCTTTATGGAACCAAATCATTTGACAATGAGTCAGACTAACTGAAATAAGCCTGGCTTATTCGGTTAACTTGTTTTATGAAACAGGCCTCGAGGCATTAAAAGTGATCATATTTTCTCCATTGCATATTGCATCGAATCGCATTGTGTTGAATCGAATCGAATCGAAATCGGATCGCACTGCATCGTAATAGGGGTGAATCATCGCATCGCATCGGTAGCTGCTTCATATGTATCTTTAATGTATCGTATCGTTGGCTATGCATTGAGATGTTGATCGTATCGGCCTGAGTCATGAGATACACATCCATAATTTGTAGGAGTTTCCCTTTCAGATGCAAAATTTATGAGAGGAGAGTATTAAAATGAATCATGCAATGTGATTTACTAACGTTTGTTCTTGTCAAATTACTGGTATTTGTGCCATTATTTAACACCCCAAAAAAGCATATCTTAATTTTGCGCCTGAAATGGCTGCATTTGTTGTTGTTAGGAGGAGGCACCGCACAAAACAGAGAGCATGTGGTCGAAGTGAGAAGATTTTTTCCACACTAATTAATTTATTTGGAATGCCAGAAGGACACATTATCCGATTTCGAACATATCCTTACACTAATTTGCGCTGCGCTTGGCAGATTGCGTTGGCCATTACGGAAATGAGATGTTGCGTCTGTGTTCTTTAATTTGCCTGTTGTCAGTAAATCACCCTCAGAAAGTTCCATGCCCATCAGCAATGTTTTGGAATTGCGCTCTCGCACTAACTTGTCCTGTTTAGTAAATCTGGCCCTATGTGTCATACACTATAATGTCCACCCATTGAAGAATGATACCGGATGTTAGTGTCAAGCTGCTGAACAACCAGCTTCAGTTCCTCCTGCAGTCTCTCAGACTCATGCTGGGAAGACAGCAGCTGTTCTTCCAGCCTGTGGCAGCTCTTCTGACTGCTTCTCTGCTACAGGACACATTGGTAGTTCATTGTCAAGAGCTCCATTAGCACATAATTTCAGCAGAAGTCAGATTCAGTTTCACCCCACAAACCTCTTCTCTAGCTGTGCTAAGTTCACTCTCCTGCACCTGCAGCCGCGTCTCTAGCTCTTGTGTGCGATGAGACATCTCTGAGTTTTTGCGTGTCAGAGTTGCCTCCTTCGCCCGCAATGAGCGCACCTGCTGCTGGAGTTCCTCATCTTTCTGCTCAAGTAATTTCCTGTCAGGAAACACAGAAGGTCATCTTAATTAATTAATTGATTACTAAAAAGAACGTTTGACTCAGGACTAAGACTACATTTAAAAACACCTGCCAAAATGAACACTACTTGTGACGCAGTGACCTGTCTGACCTCTGTAGTTGCTCCTCTTGCAGTCGGGCTCGGAGGGCAGACAGGTTATCAGACATGTCTCTGGTGTCTCTCTCCAGTTTGCTGGTCTCTCCCGCTCTGGCCTCCTCCAGACGCAGCTGGTGCAGCGTGTTCTTCAGTTGCTTCTGCAGTTCTACAACCTGCAAAGATGTTCAATTAACATGTTCTTCATAACTGCTATACTACTGAAGTTTTTCAATCTGCTGTAATCACACACCTTCTTGTCAGCAGCGATCACACGCGCTCTCTCTGAATTAAGCTCCTCCATCAAGCTGCTGTTAGTCTGTCGGTTCTGAGCGCTTCTGGCCACCTCCAGCTCCAGATCTCTGACCCTCTGCTGGAGTCTCTCCAGCTCTGCCACATGTCCTGCTGCGCTCCCCTCCAGCTGGGCTACTTTGGCCTGGGCCTGCTTCAGCTCTGCACACAGCTATCAGGAGCAGAAACATAAGGTTTCTGAGCATTAAAATCAACAAAACAACATTCATACATTTTAAGTGTAACTTTAATGTCCGAATACTTTTTGGCACCTGGCACAACTTCTTTGCATGTTTTTTTTTACCTTGATCTTCTCCTGGTCTAGCAGTGCATTGTGTCTCTTAAGGTCTAGATTTTTCTCTCTCTCATAGCGTAGCTCTCGCTCTGCAGAAGTGAAAAGATGCTGGGTTCTCTGAAGGTCCTGTCTCAGCTGTTTGTTCTCCTCTCCCTTCTGTTGTAGGAGTGAGTCTTGAGCCTGTGGATAACCACATTTTGGTCACGTTATGCATGACAAAAAGGTAGAACATTAAAACACAATAGTGTTACAATTAAATTATGCAGGTTCTAAGAATGTTTTGTGCATGAATAAAAGTAAAAATTAATGTGAATATGTTTTTGTGGGTGTATGAGTGACTGGAGAGCAGGACTGACCTTAGCCCGGGCCTGAGCTTCACTGATCTGGGCCTGCAGGGCCAGCTGGTGTTGGCCGGCCAGCTGTCTCTCCTCCTCCAGGGTGGAGTGTAGCTTACTCATCTCTGACTTCACACAGGCCAGCTAGAGGAGCAGCACATAATGTTTACACATGATTCCAGCAAATACTACCGTTTAAAAGTTTGGGGTCAATAAAAAAATATATATATTTTTAAGTTGACTTTTAAAAAGAAGGTAAAAAAATGTGTTACTGTGTTCTTATAGTTATTATTTTGGAATAAATGTAGACATACTTCAACAAAACTAACTTGATTAGATTTATACTTGGTCTTAATAAATAGAACAATTAATAGTAAATGTAAAAATAGGGATATCATTTTATTTTGATAATTTTCTTTAATAGTGTAGTATTTATTTAAGATGAAAAAAATAGAAACATTAAGTTGATACATGAATTAACAATGGACTAAAAAAACATTAAAAATGAAATAATGAAAAATAATAATAATATCATTTTAGAACACATATTAGAGAAGAATGATCAGTAGCCTAGATCTCCCAAAAAAAAAAAAAAACCCCCCCCCGGGGCCAATCATTCATTGTTGAAGAAACACCTTATAAAGTAGCCTTACCTGACAATGTCCATCATCCTCTGCAGTGGGCTTGCGGTTGGCCGTGTGCTCCTGTGATGCTCTGGGCATCTGCTCTCTAGCATACTGGAGCTGCTGTTTGACATGCAGGAGCTCCAGACTGAGTCTCTCCCTCTCCCCGTCAGTCTGAAGCCTCTCATGGGCTTTCTCGCTGAGCTCCTTCTGTAGCTGCATCACATGCCTGCGTTTCTCCATCAGCTCATCCCTATCACAGAGGCCCAAAACATCTTACAACATGCTTTCTACAGAGACCTGGAGTTTATATTGAAGATGGGATAATGTCAGCTATATTGGACAAAAGACATTGCTATACCGAGACGAAAAAAAGAGGAAAACAGTGATGTATCTGTGACAGGGTGTCTTGCCTTAGAGTGTTGTGCTCCTTCTCCAGTCGAGTCAATTCTGTTCTCAGCTTGTCCACCATAGAATTAAGCTCTGCCACCTGTCCCCTGCTGTCTCTCAGGTCCTCTTCGGCTTGGCTGTTCTCTGTCTGAAGGGTCAGGTTGTCCTGGAGTCGTGTCTGAGCACGCTCCAACTGGGCCACCTGCAGAGTACAAACACAGCCTCAGTGAGTATTTACAAGCTATGGGAATTATATCTGAGCATTCTAACAACAAATGGATTGCATTCTTTGCAATATAACCCTATAATTTAGTGACCTTCATTTTTATTACCTTTTCTTCCAAAATTCCCTTTTCTCCTTTAATCTGTGTGAGGTTCTTGTTAAGTGTCTTTCCTTGTCGACATTCCACTTCTAGTCTCTGGACTGCCACACGTAATTTCTTAAGCTCCTCATGATCTCTTTGCATGACCTGTCCACAAAATAACCATGTGACATTTATGGTTTCAGATCACTTTATTTATAACTCTTCTGAACAAATGCATAGTGGTGTACGAACAATGAACAAATTTCCAGGACTTCAAACTGTGTATTTTATGATGAGTCATGTGTGGCAATGACATTACTTCTTTTTCCGTTTTGAGAGCAGCCTTGGCTACAGATAGATCCACCTCCAGCTGTTTCCTCCAACCTTTTTCTTCAGCAAGACGTCCCTCGAGGAACTTAAGTCTTTCTTGAATGCTCTCGCTAAGCTTTAGATTAAAAGATAATGAAAATATAATTTATCTACCACACAATTAGAGGGTACAGGTCAGGGACTTTTTCAATGTGCCTTAACCTTTACCTCAGAGTCAGTCCCACGAGCCTGATCTTCTTTGTTCTTCTCAAGTTTCTTACTATTTCTCTTACTCAGTTCTTCCTCAATGCTTTTAATCTAGAACCAAAATCAGTCAGTCTCTACATTCAGGTGTTTACTTATCAAATTTAGCCCAATGTGGATGGATAAAAACGCACCTTTCTCTGTAACCCCTCTATCTCACACTCATGTCGCTCCCGCTCCTCTTTCGCTGCATTCTGCGCCTCCCCCAGCAGCGCCTCCAGCTCCTCATTCCTCTCCACCAGCTCCTCATGCTCACGCTGCTGCTTCTGCAACCTTCTCTCCAGCTCTCGCAGACGACTGTCCTTATCTTCAGACTCTCTCCGACACCTGCCATCATAAAACTGCCATATCAGCATCTTTAAAGAATGGAAGCAATGACATGTAGAACTTTTAGTACTATAAAAGAAGACAAAGCTTCACCTTTTGTGGAGTATCTCATCCTCTACATCCAGTGATGGATCAGGATTGACTTTATTCCCAACACCCTGAGCATTCAGAAGAAAAAAGCATTCGGAAGGCTCTCAAAGGAAATTATTCAAATATTAAATTACCTGTGTCATGTAATATATGCAAACTAGTGCTTTTAAGACTGTAATAGTATGAATATCTACCTGTGTAGAGTGTATTTTGTGTTCTAAAGGTACGCTGATCCCTTGATCTAAGTTCAGCTTTGATTGTTCAACCTGTGGCACACCCAGCATGGCAAATTATATCTGTTCCGTGTTTGCAAATAAGACTACCTTACAGGTAGTGGCACTAAAACTACAATTCTGAAAACAAGTATTCTTGCCAGTTTAAGAAGAGTCCTCCTCTCTGTGTCCAGGGAACGAACTCTATCCCTCAGCACACAAATCTCACTATCCAGTCTTTCATTGCGTTCCTTGGCCTTCTGCAGCTCCACCATATCTGTCAAACATTGGGATTACAACCAATACACATCATTTGAAATGTTTTTATGGTTCGTTCTGTCTTTATGTACAGCACTGTCATTTTTTATAAATAAACTTGAATATAGTCATAAACCGTGAGCAAATGTGAGAAGTTTTTAAAGAGACACGTGATATCTTGCTGCAGTATCAGACACAATCTCACCACACTGTTTAAGCTTGTCCACTTCCTGTTTCAACTGCTCCACTTCCTCCCCTGTTTTCTGCAGGTCAGGTACTGAAATGAAAATTTTGTTCTGAGTTTACATTACGTGCTAAGGCAAAATAGCAAACAAAATTCTAAAACTAGATTTTTACATTTTCTAATGATGACTTGAGATGAGTGATGCTTAGTCATGTCAATGTGAATGGGGTCTTCTGTATGGCTTTTTTTTTGTGGAAAATAATAGTCTAGTTCCTTAAAAAAAACAATGATTACTATGGAGGCACAATATATTAGAAACAATATATTTTTGTATAGGCATCAATTAATATTCAATATTTAATTGCTTACTTTCATTACTTCGATTTTTACATTTAGATTACGTTACCGATACTGTAGTCTAATGCTCATTTAAAACGTATTTTAAAATAACTACTCTGTTAAATGTAATCTTTAACAAATCTCAAAATGAAATTTCATTTTTATATTGTACATATTATAATGTTGTGATGCTTACATTCACATGTTGCAACAAAAAAAAAAATGCTGACAAATTTTTAGGGTTTTTATCTTTTTATTTACACTACCATTAAAACATTTGGGGTCGGTAAGATTTTGAAAGAAAGAAATTAGCTCTTTTATTTCGAAAGGACACATTACATTGAGCAAAAGTGAGAGTAAAGACGTGTAATGTTACAAAATATTTCCATTTCAAATAAATGCTTTTGAACTTTCTATTCATCAAAGAATCCTGAAATTTTAAAAATGTAGTTGCCACAAAAACACTGCTTTCATCATTGATAATAATAAGAGGGGTTTTTGAGCACCAAAACAGCATATTAAAATGATTTCTGATGGATCATGTGACACTGAAGACTGGAGCAATGGCTGCTGAAAATTCAGCTTTGCAATCACAGGAATAAATTACATTTTAAAGTATATTAAAATAGAAAACCGTAATTTCAAATTGTAATAATATTTCACAATGTTACTATTTTATCTATATTTTAGATTTTTTTTTTAATGCATCCTTTAGAGCCTTCAAAAAAAGAAAAAGAAAAACCATTTGTACCCAAAACCCCAAACTTTTGAATGGTACTATATGTATGCTACAATAGTATAGAAGTATACTATAGAATTTTATTATCAGGTCAGGTGAAAATTTTGTTCTGAGTTTACATTACGCGCTAAGGCAAAATAGCAAACAAAATTCTAAAACTAGATTTTTACATTTTCTAATGATGACTTGAGATGAGTGATGCTTAGTCATGTCAATGTGAATGGGGTCTTCTGTATGGCTTTTTTTTTGTGGAAAATAATAGTCTAGTTCCTTAAAAAAAAACAATGATTACTATGGAGGCACAATATATTAGAAACAATATATTTTTGTATAGGCATCAATTAATATTCAATATTTAATTGCTTACTTTCATTACTTCGATTTTTACATTTAGATTACGTTACCGATACTGTAGTCTAATGCTCATTTAAAACGTATTTTAAAATAACTACTCTGTTAAATGTAATCTTTAACAAATCTCAAAATGAAATTTCATTTTTATATTGTACATATTATAATGTTGTGATGCTTACATTCACATGTTGCAACAAAAAAAAAAATGCTGACAAATTTTTAGGGTTTTTATCTTTTTATTTACACTACCGTTAAAACATTTGGGGTCGGTAAGATTTTGAAAGAAAGAAATGAGCTCTTTTATTTCGAAAGGACACATTACATTGAGCAAAAGTGAGAGTAAAGACGTGTAATGTTACAAAATATTTCCATTTCAAATAAATGCTTTTGAACTTTCTATTCATCAAAGAATCCTGAAATTTTAAAAATGTAGTTGCCACAAAAACACTGCTTTCATCATTGATAATAATAAGAGGGGTTTTTGAGCACCAAAACAGCATATTAAAATGATTTCTGATGGATCATGTGACACTGAAGACTGGAGCAATGGCTGCTGAAAATTCAGCTTTACAATCACAGGAATAAATTACATTTTAAAGTATATTAAAATAGAAAACCGTAATTTCAAATTGTAATAATATTTCACAATGTTACTATTTTATCTATATTTTAGATTTTTTTTTTAATGCATCCTTTAGAGCCTTCAAAAAAAGAAAAAGAAAAACCATTTGTACCCAAAACCCCAAACTTTTGAATGGTACTATATGTATGCTACAATAGTATAGAAGTATACTATAGAATTTTATTATAACAGTCATTTATCAGTTATCTGGCATAACGTGAAAATAATTATAATCAGCTTACTGACATCAGCCAGAATTTTACTACCACAGCATCACTAATAATTACCATTAGTGCTATAATCTGAAGCCTGCATTTACTTACCACACAAGTTTTGGACCTTACGAGCGAGATCTAGTTCATCCGTCAGGTGGCGAATCTCTTTATGTGCCATAGCAAGACGACTCGATGCCTCTTCCAGATCCCTCTCCAGCCTCTGGCGCTCTGTGCATTCTCTGTTGAGTTCTTCACTGTGGCCCTACAGGGGACAGAGCTTTCAGTGAGACATAAACCTGGTTTCACTGGCTGGTCAAGCAAGGAGCATGTCAGCATCCATGCGTTTTTAACATGCATAAGCCACAGAACACAGGTGAAGCTGAATGTGGATCATGTTCCAGTGTGAACAGAGTTTAATATGCACCTGCTCCCTTATAACCATCAGAAACAACTGCATCAAGGGGACAACCAGCCTCTGGTTAGTAACCACCCTGAACTGTTAGGGTCCAGAGTGAAAATAAGAGGAGTTAATGTGATCATGCTCAAGCTCAGCATGTGAGAAGACGTTATTCTCTGCTTTGTGTTCAACCAAGGCATGCATTATTTCATGAGGTGACCATGGAGCTGCCCTAATCTGCTTAAGGACAATAATTATCCTGTCTAGGACAATATGGAAAGTTCCACCTCTCTTGATTTACATTTCTGTCATGCCTTTTTTATGACATGTATGGAAACCTACAGGAAGGTTCTGTGCTCTTAGTGTAGCCCTGCGCACACCAAAGAACTTCCTCCAAGGACTTTGAACTGATGATTCCTGTCCATTTAAGCGAGGAACAAAGAATCGGGAGAAATTATGATGCAGAACATATCAAGAGATGGACAATGAAACAATTAAATATAGATAAATGGGATATGACTTCAACGCGCTGCTTTTGAAGTTGCTTTCTGCTCATGTGACACAGATCTTCTCACCTTATTCATGCTTTCCTTTTGCTGCCTGAGTTCCTCTTCCCATGTGTGACGCATATGATCCAGCTCTTCCTGATTTCCATAAGAGAGGAGATATTAAAATGACCACAAAACTAATGAGCCTCAACTGAGGCATTACTATTAAGAGAAGGCTCCACATTTTAACACGTATATTTCTTATTCAATATTATAATTTTTTGCATTTGCCATTTCATTCAAGTTATACATTTTATCAGAATGCTGATGATGCTATAGGCACATTTGGCTGATTTCACAGCTAGCATTTTCTGTATCCTAAATAAACTTTATATATTATACTGGCCAACCTGTTGACCTACACTTTTATGAAAACTGATATAAAGTTGTATTTCTCATAGTACCTGCAGATGCACCTCTCTGAGGTTGCCAGTGAGGGTCTGGGTGTCCAGTTTTCTTTCTGCAGCTTCCAGTCTCTCCAGGAGAGTGACTCTCTCCACCAGCAGATAGGCCACCTGCTCACTGGCACTGCTCTGACTGATCTCTGCTAGACCCTCCTGCTCCAGCATCTCCACCACCTCCTTACACTGGGAGTCTGTCACATACAAACATGACTAAAGACCACTTACTGGACTATAAGGACATTGTGCAGAATGCTAGGGCTATGCTCTTAATGGAATACTAGTGTACTACATATTGCATACAGTGCAGAATGCACTAAATACCACAAACAATTTTTTATCACCTCAGAAATATAATTATTTTGCATTTTTTGTCTAATTCTAAGTAAAATATTAATAATAATAATAATAAATGATTACATTGAAAAAAAAAGTTAATTGGAAAAAAAGTCAAATAAAACCAACTTTAAATATACAATGAAAAGCTAAAAAAAAAAAAAATGAAAATGAGAAATACTGCTAATAACGTAAATAAATTAAGTTTAAAGGCCTGTTCACACCAAAGATGATAACTATCACAATAACTATAATAATCGTTCTAATTCTAGAGGGAATAGGAAAGTGCATACCATAACTATAATGATAATGAGACAAAGGAACAATTTTTTTTCTTCCAGCTGATGAATGACGAAAAAATTCACAACCAATCAGAATCCACCGATTTTTAAGAGCTTAGGCATTTAAAGCAACAGACAACATTACTGCAGTGTGTAAAATAATCAGAACATTCATGTCTGTTGGTGTATTCACTAACATGCTGTAGTTATTGTTATAGTTATTGTTCTTGGTGTGAACAGGCCTTGTTGAAGTTGAAGTACTAAAAATAACTAAAACTGAAATAAAAATCTATTAAAAAAGAGAAAAATTAAAAAAAACTAAAAAGGAAAATATAAATGGGAAGAAATTAATAAAAATGACACGAGAACTTAAAATGATTGAAACAAACTAAAGTTAAAATGAAAATATAAAAATAAAAGCAAATTCACAATATTTATAAATACATTCATAAACAATATAAATACTACTAATATTATGTAAATTATATTAAAATAATACTGGTAAAAACATCTTAACACTTGGATGTCAGATCAAATGAGAGAAGAAAATTGTGGCTGATATTACTTCCAGATCCAGGTCCAGCCAAGCACATTGCATTGTGGGATACAGTATTCTACACAGCACACTCTATAATATACTGTACATTTGACAAATGTAGTAGCTGATCTATGACTTCTTTGCATACAGAACATTTACATACTGTGTACACTGCAGAATACTGTATGCATACTTATATTTAGTACACAAATACACATAATGCAGAAATAGTATGAGTAACATGCAACCAAACTACTCACTGACAAAACTTAGACCACAATCTATTTTATTTATAAGTATGTTAAAACCAATATGAGTTCAAACTCACCCTGTTGGTGTTTCATTAGGGCGAGCTCAGCACGGAGTTGTTCGCTGTCACGTTCGTACTCCGCTGTTAGAGATTCCCGCTCCTCCAGCATGTTTCGAATATGCTCCACGTAATTTTCCACCTTGAAAAAAACCCATCAAACAACCACACAGCACAGCAAAAGCATTAGCTACAGAAGCAGTGTGTTTTGGTCATGAAACAGTGTGGTCATGTTACAGTGTTGATGAGGGAGACCATCATTAGCTATTCTTTAGGGTGGGAGGATGCCCGGCCTGCCATCTGCTGGCTCACCTCTCTCATCTCGCTGGCCTGCTGTGTGCGTAAAGTCTGCAGGTCTTCACTGGCTGCGCTTAGGCTGCCCTCGCTGCGCTGGAGCAAAAGCCACAGGTGCAGCTCACGCTCCTCTGCTGGAGCCTCAGGGGACACACCGTCCCTCTGCAAGCGGAGGGTGAGCTCGTCCAGCTCCTTTTTCTTAGGAGGAAACAAAACAATGAGCCTTTTTTTTTTCTTGATGAGGCCTGGGTTACCCGACACCGTCTTCAACACTCTGTCACCAGCACATCTAATTGCTCAGTGTTAAGTACGTCTCAAAAGGTGCCTACTATCTCACTATACTGTCTCATTAAGCAGCGTTTCTTAAATGGGGGGTTGGGATCCACTGGGAGGCCTTTAAACTTCTAAAGGTGCTGCAAAATGTTTTAAAATGAAAATGAATTACATTTGATTAAAATTTGTATTTTGCATGTAGATCAGCGGTTCTCGACAACTGCAAACCTCAGCAAGCTTTCAAGGGGGGCCTCAAGATGCTTAAGATGATTTAAAATAAGACAAAACAAGAATTTAAATAAACTAAAACAACTATAAATCAAGCTGAAAACTGACATTGTATTTTTAATTTCAATAATTTTCCTCAAAAACTATAAGTATATAACCAGGGTTCCCACAGCCCAGGAAAACCTAGATATATGAGGAAATTTTAAACGCGAGATTTCTAGACTAGGAAAAGATTTTAAAATTCTTAAAATCATAAAGTCATGGAAATTTCTATAATGAATATCTATTTTTAGATATTTTTATATTTATATTTTATAAATAATAGAAAAGAAACTTTAATATAATTTGAATATAGTTCTTGTATTGACAGTGTAATTAAAAAACAAGCCGCTTATTACAGTGTTATTACAGCAGAAGTGCCAGAAATATCTTAGCCTACATGGGTGGCCTTCGAATATTGTCCTTGACAAATGGGGGCCATGGAGTCAAAAAGGTTGAAACTTTCTGTAATATAATTTAAACAGAGATACAAGAAGACCTTGGGGTTAGAAAAGATTGACAATTGCTATCATAAAGTTATTTCATTATATGTATTAATAAAGTGCATATTATTACACCTGTTGAAATGAAAAACAACTGCCCCTATAAGTCTATTTTTTTTGTATGTCAACATAACTACCATTAGTCATCAAGCATATTGCATGATCTTCATTAACTAAGATTTCATGCGTATGTCATATTTATAAACACCATACCTCTCTTTTTTCCATGGCCGTGTACAGCTCAACTGGAGTCCGTGCATCACATGCAAATTAGCCAAGCGTTTTTATGGGAACAAAGTTTAGATTGTGGTTTCCAGCATTTGCCTCCGCCCATGTCAGTCTCTGGACTAATCATCACTTTATTGTAGAAAAAGAAAAGCATTAAACATAACTCAACGTGTTCCTGAAGTTTGCATGCCTTTAAATTGAACACAATACAGCTAAAGTAACAACCTTTGACAACACTGCAAACTGTTAAGACTAGCGTTACACGTGATCTTCTGCATAATCCATTATCATCCGTTATTAAATGTTTCTCTCACATATTCATAATTTATCTGCAGTCACGGGTGTATTTGACAAGAATAATGTTGCTTCGGGCTCAACAGGCTTTTTTACTGCAATATAAAAAGTTTCCTAACCCAAGCACAGTCCAGTCCGCTAACTTTGGCTAGCGGGCTAGTTCGCAGTTATTAAGCACGAGCTTCTTTTCATATCCTCCAGACGCCTGTTAAAAATTAAACAAATTACGATTGTCGTTGTCCTTCAAACTCGATTTGAAACAGTTAATGATGTCTGTCCGTTTACAAATATTGACGCAACAGTAGAGTGCTCTCCTCTCCTGAGGCCTACCAAGTGTTTTGTTGCAGCTGCTCGCAGTAGCTTGTACCGAGCGCCTAGGCAACGGGTTAAACCATTCCGGACAAACCGGGAGAGAAGGATGCGCTGAGAAGTTGAGGTTGCACGTTAGTCCAGCAGATGGCGGTGTTTGCTCTATTACTCAATAAGCAACAGAAAAATAAAGTGTAGATCTAGTACTGAATGACTTAACTGTTCGATTAATATTATTCTATTAAAATAAAGCAAGTCATAGATTTGATAGCCTATATTATTCATAATAATTCACATCGATACGCTACCTGTCAAAAGACTGTAAAAATCTAGATGTTTTCCAAGGCTGCATTTATTTGATTAAAAAACAATACTAAAAAGTGTTTATTAATTTTTACAATTTAAAAGAAATGTTTTCTATTTTAATATATTTTAAAATGTGATTTATTAATGTGATGGCAAAGCTGAATTTTCAGCAGTGTTCAGTGTCACAAAAACAAATTACGATTGTCGTTGTCCTTCAAACTCGATTTGAAACAGTTAATGATGTCTGTCCGTTTACAAATATTGACGCAACAGTAGAGTGCTCTCCTCTCCTGAGGCCTACCAAGTGTTTTGTTGCAGCTGCTCGCAGTAGCTTGGACCGAGCGCCTAGGCAACGGGTTAAACCATTCCGGACAAACCGGGAGAGAAGGATGCGCTGAGAAGTTGAGGTTGCACGTTAGTCCAGCAGATGGCGGTGTTTGCTCTATTACTCAATAAGCAACAGAAAAATAAAGTGTAGATCTAGTACTGAATGACTTAACTGTTCGATTAATATTATTCTATTAAAATAAAGCAAGTCATAGATTTGATAGCCTATTATTCATAATAATTCACATCGATACGCTACCTGTCAAAAGACTGGAAAAATCTAGATGTTTTCCAAGGCTGCATTTATTTGATTAAAAAACAATACTAAAAAGTGTTTATTAATTTTTACAATTTAAAAGAAATGTTTTCTATTTTAATATATTTTAAAATGTGATTTATTAATGTGATGGCAAAGCTGAATTTTCAGCAGTGTTCAGTGTCACATGCATGATCCTTCAGAAATCTAATATGCTATCCTTTTAAATTGTAATTTTCAGAAGCATAAGAGACTTTCTTTCATCTGAATTATTCTCTATATCTATCTATCTATTTATCTCTCTCTCTCTCTCTCTCTATTATCTCTCTCTCTCTCTCTCTCTAATCTCAGGTCTGCAATAACCCTTATTTCTTTAATGCAGTATCAGCGTGAATTAAAATAAGAGAACTGGAGTCACATGTATAAAATATTTATTTATTAAAGTAAATTAAAAGTGGGTGGCATGCTGTAAATTATTACCTCTATGTCTAAACTAAAACAAACATTAAAAAGGTTTTTCTACATTTATATACTGGGTAAGTACTAAGTGTTAAATCTAAATATCAATATTTAACACTAGATCAAAAAGATTTAAAGTGAAGGAATTGGGCATTTGTTTATGGCACAGTGTTTTGCATGTCATTCCATAACAGAAGTATAATATGTCCTCATATGTGTAAAGTCAGACATAATGTACAGTGTGCTTGCAGTCAGACAAACATTTTATATTATCCACCAGCTGCATTCATTTCCATGTTTAGTTCAGCCCTGTTTTTCCACTCTTAATTAAAATTACAAAGTACAGATTTTAATTGAAGAATAAGAAAATGCAGAAAAAAATAAAACATCAACATTTCATTGCAAACAAGTCCTTACATATCTAGGTTTTTTTTTTATACGACAGGCATGTTTTTCTAAAAGAATGTGCTTTCCTGAGTGCATAAAGTTAATAAAACACATTGCATAATATGTCCTCATATGTGTAAAGTCAGACATAATGTACAGTGTGCTTGCACAGTCAGACAAACATTTTATATTATCCACCAGCTGCATTCATTTCCATGTTTAGTTCAGCCCTGTTTTTCCACTCTTAATTAAAATTACAAAGTACAGATTTTAATCGAAGAATAAGAAAATGCAGAAAAAAATAAAACATCAACATTTCATTGCAAACAAGTCCTTACATATCTAGGTTTTTTTTTTATACGACAGGCATGTTTTTCTAAAAGAATGTGCTTTCCTGAGTGCATAAAGTTAATAAAACACATTGTTTAATGTAGTAAAAAAATACCTCATTATCATGGATTTACAATGAAATTGAATAATGTAAATTGACCAGTTTTTTCAAGCTCATTCACTTTTTCCCAACATCACAGGGCAAATTTTTTTCTGTGGTATCTGAAATTGGCCAGATAATCACCGAAGTCTCATAAAAACACACACTCTGCCCTCATTTTCTGGTGATATTGCAGCTTTTGAGCTCATAGAAGAGAACATATGCCTGATTGGACTGAAGCTTCTCCTCTATTATTTCACCAACACTGTGAAAGAAACAGAGCATTAAAGTATACACATTTTCCTATTTTTATATACTTTATTACTATAAAATATCCTAACATCATCAAACAAACAAATAATATAATTTGTCTATATTATCTCTAATAGGAGCAAATTACTATTCTTGTATATCCTGTGAGAAAACTGGCCTTTAAATACCATTATTTTATTTAAAAACAAAGGCCAGACAAAAAACTGCACACACCATGAGTCATTATAGTAGCACCAGCCCTCCTCCTCTCGACATGCAGCCGTGTAGTGTCCCATATTTACTGTGCCTGAATGATTGCATACTGCATAAAGATCATACAGCACTGGACCTGAAAGCAAACATTCAGTAATATTTCATACACCTCTGCACATAACAATAACCAAAATTTATAATGTGCATGATACTTATTCACATATTAACATCTCACCACAGTCAACAGGTCCAAATGGCCCTAAATCCAGCCCATTCAGGGGGAAAGAAACTGGCACTGTGCTCTTTGAGATTGAGTACCTTGACATGGCAAATCGATTTAAGTCTGCGATGGGAAGTTAAGTCAATGTACCTTTTGTAAAGCATGTACTTGGTCACAAGACCTTACACTTACTGCTCCACACCACAGAAAATCACCATCTGACTAACTGAAAAGGATACGTATTACGAGGATTCTAGGGAACCTTTGGATGGTCAGTCTCTTTGTGCTCTCAGTGCGACGGTTACACCGCTCACACATCTAAGAAACATACACATCCATGGGCATCAGTAGAATTTCCCATTTTAAATGCAAGCAAAAACTGGCCATGCTTTTCACTCACTGGTGAGTTTTCTTGATCAAGCTTTTCCTCTTGTGAAAAGAGGTCTAGACACTCTCTCAGTGTGACGGTTCGTCCAATATCACTCTTCTGCAATTCACACAAACAAAAATGATGATGACACATCATCCGCACAATGCCAGAAGGTGAGGACAGGGCCTGGGAGTGTTACCTTTGGGATGGGGAGTGACAGGTCACAAAACACGTCAAAGGTGTTGGAGTAATGGGAGCAGACTGAACAGTGCAAAGAACTGCGCAGCTGACCAGAGAACAAATCTGTGACAGAAGTGAAAAATATTTGAGCACCAGGTGCACCAGGATTTAAAATGGACAGAAGTAAACAAAAAGAAAAAAAAAAAGAATGGGTTTATTTTTTATTGTATTTACTAAATAATCAATAGACTCATTCATCATTAATACACACACTCACATATAAAATTAAATAAAAAAAATCTATAAAATCCAGAAATGTATTGAAAGTTTAATGGTCAAATGGTTCTGCATACAAAAAAAACAAAACGTAAGCATGAAAAAGGTGTTGAATGAATAATGCAAACAAAACAGTTGTGTCATGAAACTCTAGATGCCACAAACTGATAAGTCTTTTACAAGCAATCTAGAATTCATATAATTTACTACATGACAAGAGCTGATTGGCCACTGCTGATTCTGCAGCCAATAAGACTGCTTGCTCAACATTTAAATAGTTTGATTCAGGGTTTGCTGTAAGCTGGTCCTGTAGTGCACTCCACCTCCCCCAGCTCCACATGTCTAGATCTGCTATGGGATTTATATATGCCTATTCATGCTAAATTATTTTATTAATTAATAAAATTAAATGTATTGGTAAAACTGATTATTATAATATCATTATTTTAACAGTGCTACTGCTTACCAACAATTTTACTGTCATCTCTGTCAAGATGCCTCTGCCACATTGCAAAGGCCTCCTCTGAAATCCTGCTGGAGACAATGAGTGATTTAAAGGCTCTAAATGACTCCAGATAAGTTTGCTCCTTTCAAGATCTGTCTCTTTGTGGAGTACCTGTACGATTGTGTGTATGTTGGTTCCTTAATTTCCATAACTGGAGGACGTTTGGATGGACGACGGTTAATTTCTGTATGAAGCCTGTCCAGGAGGAACCGCAAGAACTCCTGAGCATCTTGCTGACTGTGTGAGTGCGAAATGAAATGGATAGATTATTTGTCTGCCAAATATTATATGCATAACAACTGAGAAGGATTTCTCTAAACACCAGTACCCTAGCACATATTTTAAATACTGTGTTTTTCAGAGAAATCTGAATAGATATCTGTAATAATTTGTATTGAACATACCTATAGCCACTGAAGTAAGGCACTGACTCTTTAAATACGTGATAAAACTTCCCAGGATTCACTGTGGTTTCCCCACCATCACATTCCCACAAGCCAGCCAAAACTTTAGAGAATTCTACAATAAAGTCATCAACAAAAATATTTAAGAAAGTAGTAGAGGAATGCCTGATTTTAAAATCATTAAATTGATATATAAAATGTAAAACAAAATAATAATTCAAATAAATCTTTTTAGCATTATTTTTAAATAACCATGCAGCCCCAAACCCCTCAAATTTTGATTTGCTGTACAACTTCACCCCTTATTAAATAACAGCTGAAGTGTGCTTACCATTCATAAGCACAGGTTCCTGGTTGGAGTGTTTGTCCTGAAGGTAAGTTCTCATCAGACAGTAGTCCCGAAGACTACGAGTGTGAGAGAGACACTGCACGATGGCATTA